AGAATTCTATTGTTTTCCGGTGTTCATGTCTTCTTGTCTTCGTTCCTAACTGTGCACACTTTGGCATATATTTAAGAATCCTTGTAGTATGTTTTTACTATTTGAATTCCACTGATACCCTCGTGTCAAGTACCATCCCTGTATAAACACAAATCTATCTGAAGAATTTTGATTTCATGAAATGAAGAAGTGTTAATTAGAGTCAGTGAGCAGAGGAATATCCTACACGAAATAAGAAAACGGAAGGCTAATTGGATTGGTCATATCTTACGCGGTAACTCCCTTCTAAAAGAAGTTATTGAAGAAAAGATAGAGGGGCGGATAGAAGTGACCAGAAGACGAGGAAGAAGACGTAAGAAGATACTGGATGACCTTGGGGACAGAAGAGGATATTCTCATTTGATGGAGAAAGCTCTAGATCGCATTAAATGGAGGAAGTGTTTTGGAAGAGACTGTGTACCTGTCGTCTGACAGATTACAAATGTTAGAATGAATCTCTTCTTGACCTCTTGATATTCTTTTCAGCATCCCACAGGTTCCTAATTTGGCAATATTTCTAGGATATTTCCAGTAATATTCTATGGGAAATCCTTCTAATAAAAAGCCACTTGGAAAGAGTATAACATTCAATTTCGGTCTTAGAGAAACAAGATGTGAGCGTATGGACTGGATTAACTGCGATCTGAAGATGGACCAGCGGTGAGATATCATTAATATGCTAATAACTCATCGGGTTTAATAATTTGAGTATAATTTCTGGATAAGCTGAGCAAATATTAGCTCCTCAAGGAGTATTTTTCTCCGTTGATATATTTTCAATAACATAAGTCGAGTGCAAATGGACATTATCCATCGTCCCATGATTTAGATAAAAGCATGACGATAGATAATGCCCAGAAACACAATATTTCTCAATCTACAGAACGAGCTATCGCGAAGCTCCCTATATATAAGGGAAGGTAACAGGCCGTGGAGGCCCATACGTTTGTGAGACGTCGAGGATCACACGTCTTCTAGACAATCGGTTCACACAACTGGCGCTGAGGTTGTCAGTCTTACGCGCTGGCCGCGCTTTATCCCCAGGAAGATTCCTGGTACTGATTTCTTTTAGATACTGAGTCGAACCCCAGGGCCATATTGCGGCTGGAAGGATTAGGTCAGTTTAAAAATCCAATAACCTCATCGGAAATCGAACCCGCTAATTTTCGTTTTGTAACATAGTGCCTCAACCAACTACGCTATCGCGTACCTCGTACTTTTTTTTTCCTTGGCACTACAGCCCCAGTGGGCCTAGGCCTACCTCCATGAACTTCTCCGTTCACTTCGGTTTTTCTAGATCTTACACATTCGGTAGGACTCCTTGGGCGGGTGATCAGCTCGTCGCAAGGCCTCTACCTGTACACAAACACAGAAAAACGCACACACACAATCTAAACATCCATGCCCTGAGTGGGATTCGAACCCACGATCCTTGTTTCGAAGCGAGCGAAGACAGTACATGCCGTGCCCCCTACCTATATATATATATATATAAAGAGAGAGAGAGAGAAGTTAATTGAAGCGTATCGCCATGGACCATTGCGTTCTGAGGGATTAACAGACATATGCAGAATTCTGGCACCGGAAGTTTGTAAGAAGAAGGCACTCAATATATCAAGGCACGCAGGAGAGGACAATACAGTGCTACTATAAATGATTGATTCATTTTTAAACGCTATATATTCCAAAGTAATAAATGTACAAATATGATTGATATATAAAAGGAACCGTAAACTCACCAAGTTTGTATTGGAACATTAAAGTTCGTCGCTACCTAAACAATGAACTTCGGCATCGCTGGATTGGGCGTGTTGGTGAGGATGACGTAGCTCTGTTCACTTGGCCCCCCAGATCACCTGATCTAACACCTTGTGACTTCTTCCTTTTGGGGTACATTAAGGATCGTGTTTACGTACCCCCACTGCCAAGAACACTAGTAGAGCTGAGGGAACGCATCGATGCTGCAGTGATGACCATTGACAGGATGATGCTACAAAATGTGTGGAACGAACTCAACTACAGCCTGGACGTGTGTCGTGTGACCCAAGGGGCACATACAGAACATTTGTAGACTGTGAAGAAACCTTGGTGAGTTTACGGTTCTTTTTATATATCAATCATATTTGTATATATATTACTTTGGAATATATAGCGTTTTAAAAACGAATGAATCAGTTATAGTATCCCTGTATTAGTACCGAACCAACTCCACGGACAGAAGCCCTTCTTGAGAAACTACTGGTAGCTCAGCCACACAAGAAATTCCGCTCCTGAAACGGAAACCGGATTCACAAGCTCCAGCTTCTTGACCCACTCCATATGAATTGAGCAAATCTATTCGTACCGTCTTTCCTTATGAACTTTTTTAGTATTGTTTCTCCATACATTTCTAGGACTTCGAAGTGATCTTTTTTCGTTCAGTATAGTTTTTAAAATTAAGTTTTGTATTTACCTCCTCTCTCCACCATGTGAGTTATATATATATATATATAGTCCCCCCATCTTCTTCTGATCTGTAACTATAATAATACTTTGCACAAAGTATAAATTATGGAACTCCTCATTCTATAACATTCCACAGTCCACCTGTCACTTCCTCAGTTTTAAGTCTAAATGTTTTATAGTGAGGTCATAACTGAATGTCATATCGGATCTGAGTTAATTTTGTCACGTGTTCGGGGTTCCGTGACTAACAATAACGTGTTCTGGAGTGAATGACTGGATTTATTAACACTTCGATTATAATTACAACCAATCACAAGGGCTCACTGCTTAAGATTTGCTCCATTCCTTACTGGACTACGAAGGTCTTCTCTTCCACTGTGACTGACTTGATTCTGATTTAGAATTGGTCACTTCTTCAGCTTCCGCTGTCAGTCGGTTAGCGCTCCACAGCTGAACATTTCACTCTCTTACGACTGAGTCGTTTTTCTCTGTACGGCTCATTATATAGTCTACCGGTAACCATGGAAAATACATGTATATGTTGTCACGGAAACGCTTCTTGTTCTGAATTTGTCTGTAGGGAACTAACTTCGTAGCAACGCGTGTTATATTCAGTGTGTATTCGTTGACGCAGGAGCTTGCTTACCAGACCGTTGCCCAGCAATGATCATATTCGACACATTATAAAATACTAGTAAAAATCGTACCTGTTTGTCTTTACAGATTTTGGTCTGCGGATTTTACCTGTTAGTTACATTTATCTAAATAAAGACAGTTGTAAGATTCGCTTTCCAGAGGAGACAATCTAATTCCTGTTATGTTACTACTTTTGAGGACGAATGGAAGACAGAAGAAAGCTGAAGGAGAGAGGACCAGACACTGCAAGTAGGTCAGGACATTCGCCTTGAGTACCTGCTAGTCCTATTTGTCTCTTACGCAATGTTGTTTAAAGTAGGGTGGGGGTTGAAAAATTCCCAATATCTTATAATTATTCACTTACAGCAGCTGTTTGTATGCTGAAACATCTTGTATATGACTGTGACATCTCACGAGGACCACTAGTTTGGCAGGTGCCGTTCTGGTGTGAGGTCCTAACATTACATTAAATGCAACAAGAAAATTCCTGCTACAGATACTCACCTGTTGAGTGAATATGCATGCTTTTTCTGAAGGCAGGTGTTCGGGCCTCTTTAGAAATAGAATGACAGGCAACACGGGGAGCTGCAGCCATTTATATCAACATTACTTTGATATTTAGATATGGTACCAGCTCCTATAACCCAGTCTAATTTACCACGAATTTTCATAATGCAGTAATAAAATAATTATTTAAAATTTCGTGAGACTAATTAATGTACTGCATTGCAATAACATTTTGTTGTTTCAATGGCTCTTCCAGCCCATTCAGGGCCCTGGCCTCTTATTCGGTTCCGTAAACACTCTTCACAGACGGTAGGACTTCTTGGACGAGTGAGCAGCCCGTCTACAGGCCGCTAACTAAACACAGGACAACACAAACACAAAATAAACGCCTGCATAGACCAAATATCGATGCCTAGAATGGGATTCGAACCCACGATCGCAGCGTTCTAGCGAGCGAAATCAGTTCCTGCCTTAGACCGCGCGACCACTGTGACCGTCCTGCAATAATATTAGCCACTGTTGAGTACATGCGATGGGTAAGAAATTCTTCTCTTCTCTACAGGCCCCAAACCGGCTATGGGAACCACTCAGTCTCCTGTCCCAAGGGTACGGGAGCCTTATCCTCAGGAGTGAAGCAGAAGGTGCGTGTCGAGACCAAGAATGGTGGATCTATACCTCCACTACACCATAAGTCTTCATGCCATAGTGCTTAATTACATAAGTAATAAAAAAAAGCAGGCCGTGAAGGCCCAGAAGTTTGTGAGACGTCGAGGCTCCAACGTTTTCTAGACAATCGGCTCACAGGTGACGGTAAGGTTGTCAGCCTTAGGGCGGTCGCACAACAACTGCATCAAGACATGAGACAAAAGACGCAGTCTTGTTTCATTCGTGAATCGTCAGCATGAAGCTGACGTCAGCATCATGACTCAGACCGGTGTGCGGTGGTTTTTATAATCTCCTTCGTTTCAACGGTGCTCCTTTCTTTGCGTCATATCGCAGACATCGTGTCTTGACTGTTACATGTCTTGACGCATGCCGGTGTGCGGCCTAACTTACACACCGGCCGCCCTTTACACCCCACGAATCTTCCTGGTATTCATTTCTGTTAGTGGCTGTATCAACCCCAAGGACATAGTGCGGCAGAAAGGATTAGGTCAATTGAAAATTCCAGTGACCTCACTGGGAATCTAACTAGCGACCTTCCGGCTTGTAGCATAGTGCCTCAACCAACTATGCTACCGCGTCCCGCAATACTTAAGTACAGGGATAAACTATCTTACCTTGTATTACTTGCGATATTTTTACTCGTAGTTCCACTAGCAGGAAAGAAAATGTACTTGGTGCACATAATCTCATAATCACGGAAACTTGTTAAAAATCTTATAATCACATCATTTCTACTACATTTCGACTTTTCCTCATAGAAACTGAAGTAACTTCATCTTATGGAAATTAAAGTTCTTTTTTTTTTTTGATATTGATATAGAACATCGTTAAGCCCCTGTATAATGTCATTGCATTTTAAGTATGTCTAATTAGTAGCAGCTTCTTAATGGATACCCTGGCAGCCTTATGTTCCCTCCTCCTGAATGGGCTTTCTACCAAGTCCTGCCACTTGCTCCAGCGTAGGCAAAGTATCTGTAACAGGGAGAAAAGGGCATCATTAGTTCATATTAATTAACCCTTGCCATATTTCCTTTGCCGGCTCCTCCCTTCTCACTCAATTCCGAAAGCATACACACGAAGATAATGAATTTAAAGTAAACCTCATATATTTATATATAGCACACATATATAAGGTCCGTATAGTTTAAATAATTAACGATTAACGTAAATTAACACACTCAGTAAAAGAAGGGTGGGCCGGTCACGGTAGCCGAGCGGTCTAAGGCATGCACTGTCTTCGCTCGCTCGGAAGCCGGGATCGTAGGTTCGAATCCCACTCAGGGCATGGATGTTTGTGTGCGTTTTTCTGTGTTTGTATACAGGTAGAGGCCTTGCGACGAGCTGATCACCCGCCCAAGGATTCCTACCGAATGTGTAAGATCTAGAAAAACCGAAGTGAACGGAGTTCATGGAGGTAGGCCTAGGCCCACTGGGGCTGTAGTGCCAAGGGGAAAAAAAAGGGTGGCAAATGTAAAACGCTCGTAATTATATCTAATCGATGAAAGCAATGTTTCAGTTATAGGATTAATTTAAACGAAAAGCAGTTATGATGAACTGGTATATTAACCATTTGAAGCACCGTGGTTACTATATGTACCATCTGTTTTAATACTAAGATATTCTATATTTTGTCCACGCTTTTACTTAGGTGTTTCGTGTTATTATCAGATAAACAATAATATTTCCCTGAAAAAAATATTTGGCTGATCTACCTAATGTAAATTCAGTTCTAAGCGTGCTTTCTGTAAGGTAGGAGCTCAATTTTCCAATATTNCTTCACGCCCCGGCCGGAGAAAGAGCTCCCAGTACCCATTGGATAGGAGACTGGGTGGGCCCCAAAGCCGGTCTGGACAACGTCGAGAAGAGAAAATTCTTGTCCTTACCGGGACTCGAACTCTGATCCCTCCACCGTCCAGCCCGTAGTGAGTAGCTACAGCGACTACGCTACACCGGCTCCCCAAAGTACGAGTTGTTGGGACATGATTTAATGTGTCAAATTAATTTGGGGTTCAGAAATTCCAGCACAGGATCTGCGAGAAATTTTATACTTCAGTATTTCAAATTACAAATGAAATTTGTATTATATGAACAGACTAAATTATTTTTCCTCAATTACGACTTGTAAATTGGCCCACGTGAATATGCTGTACGGAGGGAATTTTAGAATAAAGCGCTAGAGTAGATGTGATAGGACGACGAGCAGAATTATGTAATAAGTTTCATAATCTGTCTTCATCGTCAGGTATTATTAAAGTGATTAAAACAAGGGTGCTGAAATAAGTGGAACATGTAGCACGTATGTGGAGATGAGAAATGTAAATAATATTTTAGTCCGAAAGCTGAAGGGACAAGACAGCTTGGGGCACACAAATATGTGAGGGAAGGCAGTAAGTAAAGGAAGTAAGTAAGTAAGTAAGTAAAGCTATCTCTGTACCAGGCCATGAAGGCCCATAGGGTTGTGAGACGTTGAGGCTCCCACATTATCTAGACAATCGGCTCAAAGATGGCGGTAAGGTTGTCAGCCTTACGCGCTGGCCGCGCTTTACTCCCCAGGAAAATTATTTAATTAATCCCTGGTACTCATTTCTGTTAGAGGCTGAGTCGACCCCAGGGATATAGTAGGGCTGGAAGGATTAGGTAAATTGAAAAAAATTCAATGACCTCATCGGGACTTGAACCTGCGGCCTTCCGGCTTGTAGCATAGTGCCTTGACCAACCACGCTACCGCGTGGTACTAATTAAATGTGGTGGTGGGGGTTGGGGGAGGCGAACTTCTCAGGATTGTCTCTAGTGGCGGTCTCGAGCCCTCGGTCTGCACGAAATTTCTTGGTAGGCAAAATGATAAAGCTTCTCATTAGGGGGGTCTGTCCATGGAGATGCCTTCTCACTTTTCAGTTTTCTTAAAAATCGCTTAAAATATTACATGAATGTCAATTCCGTGATTTCAACATGACACCTTCTTCAAGGGCTGCAGGTTTTACATTGAAAGAGAACTGGAAATTTCTGCGAGAGAAAGGATTACGGAATTTGCCAACATGCAGAACCTGTATCATATTGATAACATCTTGTGAAGGTCTTTTCTCTTTAATTTTATTACTTCAAGAATAAAAATATTTCTTTCTGCACCAATGAATGTCACCCTCAACAAAAAATATTTTCTCCCTTTAAACTCAAACCCCTGTCAATGCAGCCACTCTTTAGTGGTGTGAACGTCAACCCCGTATTCCACCCCACCAACCCCCTAGCCCAACACTAAAAACACACCCCTTCTCTCTCCTGACAACCTCTCACAAAACCCCATGTGCCATGTTACTGTCGCTCCAACGTGTGATTAATGACTCTTACAACAATGACACCCCCTAGTTTCAACCCCTCTATCTATCCACCCCCAATAACAGTACAATGCTTTATTGGCCAACAATAGGACAGACACGCTACCGCCAAATCGCTTACCATTGGACGGTTACGGAGCGCAAAATTGGTCCATACACATCTACGCTCGGGGCCATTCAACCGTTGACGTGTGTGTTTTCGGAAACGGGGAGGGGGTGCATTGGGAGCTAAATAACCTCCAAGATAGGTAGGGGGGCTCTATATTAGCCTGATGACCCAATCCCCTTCAGCCGTATGGCGTAAGTTCTGACGATCAATGATATACTAATAAAGAAGTGTTATTGTTTCCAGGTACTGTGATCAAAATTGCGAACATCTGTTAGGAAGAAACTTAAAAAGTTACATGTGGCTTGGGAATAAGAGTTCATTTAAATCATAACTAGTGAGACTTAGCGTGAATGTCCTGATGCAATTAGCATAGGACGTCTTCATGACGCATAGGGAGATGCATGTTTCCTTCGCTTAATATTCGACTCTGAAGAAGGAGACATTATATTCCTCTGAAACACTGGTAAATTTTTACCAGATTATACGGAGACTGTACACGCATAGAGTGTACACTTAACAGACTTCTTCGACGGAGTAAATTACAAAAACCAGATATTTATTTACTGCAATAGGTTCAAATATTTTAAGAATATATTAAAATAAGCTCAAATACTACTCATGTTAAGTGTAATATTTTATTTTAACTAAATATATGTAGGTGAAGCCGGTCACAGTTGCCGCACGGTCGAAGGCATGAACTGTCTTCGCCCTCTCGGACACTGGCATCATGGGTTCGAATCCCACTGGAGACATGAATATCTGTGTGCGTTTATTCTGTGTTTACGTTGCCCAGTGTATAGGTAGAGGCGTTGCTATGGGCTGATCCCCCGTTTAAGGAGTCCTGTCGACTGTGTATGGATTAAGAATCTCAAAAGAGTAGCCAAGGTGCACAAGGGCTGTAGAGCCATAGATGGACAGATATAGAGATATGTAATGGGACGAAAATTTTCTTAATTTCTTATCGAAAATACGGAACATCTGTAATCTTCGTTTGTGTTCGGAATATTATTGATGATTTTTCATTATGCAGGTAGGAAATATATGAAAAGTATAATTCCTGCTGTATTACCTCCGAAAAGTCAAAGACTTTCGGAAGAGAGTGTACTTTCTTCACTACAAGTTTTGTTGTGATGTTTATCGCTGCGATAAACGCTTCTGAGAGTTACGCTCCGATCTCATGCACGTCTTCATGTGAACTACCCATGATTTTTGTCTGACTTTAAGCAAAATTTGACTATATAGATAGGTTTTATGAAAACTCCTGAATGTATAATTTCATGAAAATCCATTCAGTTATTCCGAATTTGTACGGAGGGGTTTAGTAGCAGCTCCCCAGCGTTGCGAACGCTCTTAAACTTGATACGTACATAGGGACACACTCTAATTAAGATGGATAGATGGGCTATGAAGTATGAATAGTAAATGATGGATTCCATGAAGCGACTAAACTTTAAATCTTAATTTGCCCAACACTGGTTTGCCATACTTGTGCGTATTTCTCTGATGGTTTCACACGCGAATGTTATGAGTGTTTCACGTCAGCTAATTTTTGGTAACAGTTCTATCTTACGGAATTATTAACATCATTTTTACATTCATAATTAATACAATATTATTTTACTATTTTTTTATTGCTAGTGGGACTAAATCCCTTGCACTGCGGCCACTTCTGGCCTATTGTACCACCCCCAGATGATAGGTGAGGGTGATTGTGGAGCATTTGGTGGAATGAAGATTGGCAGGGGAAACCGAAGTACTCAGAGAAAACCTGTCCCATCGTTACTTTGTCCACCACAAATCCCACTTGAACAGACCCGGGATCGAACCCAGGCCGCCGCGGTGGGAAGTCAGCGATTAACCGCTTGAGCTAAGGCACGGCCCTCAATTTTACTACATTCCTTACATATGTGTGAGGTAAGGTAAAACTCTCCCTGTGTTTAATTAGTTAAGCACAATGACATGAAGATATATGGGGCAGTGGGGGAATGGCTCCACCATTCTTGACCTCGGTACTAGATGGAGGTGACTAATAGCTTCACGCCCCCGCTACTTTACCCTCTGGGAAAGAGAGCACTCTATCCATTGATGGGAGGCTTGGTGGACCCCAGCACCGGACTTAAAACTGTGGAGAGGAGAAAAATCTTGCACTTCCGAGAATCGAACCCGGGCTCTCGAACCCTTAGCTCGCTGCTATACCAAATGAGCTGTCCCGACTTACCTTACACCTGGGTTGACTAGGATTAATTCCGTTTTCTTTGCTTAAAAGTAAATAAGTAATTAACTCCATGGAATCGAGTCCTTCTCAGCAGCCATAAAGTCAGCTGTTCAAAAATATACCAACATTTTGTAGAGCTCCAAGATATACTTATTGCTTTGTTGTGCTTCCAGAGCACCTTATAATAAGGGCAAAGAAAATCATATTTAGGCCTATGTTCATTTCCTGTTTCCTTTTCATTTCTTTTCCTTGGCACTACAGCCCCAGTAGGCCTAGGCCTACCTCCATGAACTTCTCCGTTCACTTCGGTTTTTCT